GGAACATCCCAGTAACTGTTATTGACCCGATTCAGTGACATCACAGGTTTATAACAAATTGATTTACTCTCATTCAGTGATGTCACAGGTTTTTAACAGATTAATTGACCCCATTCAGTGACATCACAGGTTTATAACAGATCGATTGTCTCTCATTCAGTGATGTCACAGGTTTTTAACATATTATTTGACCCCATTCAGTGACATCACAGGTTTTTAACAGATTAATTGACCCCATTCAGTGACATTACAGATTTATAAGATTTCGTACCATAGTACAGTATTAGTATGTACATGTATAAAGGTGCTAGAAAGCAGTATTAAACTGACATGGGTGAATATACTTTGAAACAGCCACTGGTAGCAAGCATAGTAATGTACTAAATGTTTCAGTAAGATCAATTTTAATTGGTTGACAATTCACATGTACCAGTCATAAAGTATTAAACAAACACTTTCCATGGACAAAATAATGTATGATTTTACAATTTATATAAAAACTTAGATAATTTAAAACATTTACTACACATATTAGTTTTCTGTATTCTCGAGGGCAGACATCCAGGCATTTTCACCGCATGGCAACCATCACGGTGAAAACAAAGGCCGAAAACTCTCAGAAAACAGTACAGGATGGTTGTTGAAAACAGGACTCCCCTGAACAGTGTAACAAGATTACCGCTGCATGTGTAACGCATTTTATTGTTCAGGATTACTTCAAAGTTGAGTTTCTGTTTTCTTGAATTTTCACTGGCTCTTCGCTCGGCGTTCCACAGCAGTGTGCACAGAGCCCATAGAAATACGTGGTACAGTGGTGCGCCTCTTAGCAACGTGGAACGTCCGTGACGTAGCTCTACCCCTGATGATAGATTGGAAACTGCTTAATTTTCATGGCTATAAATGTTCACAATTTCAGGACTTTATAATGACATTCTCACAAAAGTCACATGACACTTCACATCGTAAGATGCCAGATAAATTTTTATTTCTACAAAATTTTGTGATTTTTAAATTAAAATTAAATTAAAGCAGTTTACGTAGTAATGTTGACTGTAAGAATAAAAAAGCTTTGTTTTTGGTCCTGGCACCATTTTTTGTTACCTTCATATTTTTAAAATACTGTAAAAGTATTAATTATTCATTGGGTTTTTATCTCACTATTTTCGCTGATAAGTAAAAGCCATTAAAATTAAATATAATGAGTATCCACAAAGTACAAGTAAAAAGTTATGCTTTTACAGTATTTTGGCCAAAACCAGAAAAAAAAAACAGCGTGAGCAGAAACAGATAATTTTATTTAATTTTTATGTATTTTTGTGAAGTTGACATTTTATTTGAGCTCTTTTGTCACTTTCTCAATGTTTTAATACTTGTAATATTTATGTAAA